CTCCTTTTTTACAATCAAATGGCCAGGCTAGGATTCCTGACATTCCTGAAACTGAAAGAGGGAGGTGAAATGTGCACGGCGAGGTGGACACACTGTTATACAAATTGCATCAGTATTGTCTTTGCAGCGCACACATGTATGTGACATTTTGAAAGTGGTCATTGTTGATGGGTCCCAACAGCCGTGCCTCTCCTCTCCACTGTCTCTGCCAGGAAAGCTCACATTCCTGCTGCAGTGAGCTCAGAGGTGCAGGGGAACTTGGGTGGACATGCAGCAGGTTGCTTGGCTCCCCTCTGTTTGTTTTACTAAGTAAAAACCTCAGCAGGGCTTCTTTTCTCTACCTGTCTGATGGCTTTTGATGAGAGAGCCTGTTTCCCAGTGCCTCCTCAGGCCTAACTTTACAAGTTCTGTCACAAAACACACACACACTGCTTTTCTTTAGCTGTCCCCACACTGAAGGATAATGCCCTCAGCTTCTTCTGTTTTTTTTCCAACATTGTCAATTCATTAATGACTCCTTTCACAACGTGTGTGTGTGTGTGTGTGTGTGTGTGTGTGTGTGTGTGTGTGTGTGTGTGTGGCCCCTAAAGCCAACCTCACTCCTGCAGTGAGACCAGACAGGCTGAAATCAGGACTTACACTCTGTATGTCACACAGCCAGTAGCCTCTTCATAACAATCACTAAGTCTGTGCCCCCTGGGGCCACCAGTCTAACCATCTCACAAAGTCGCTGCCACACTGCAGCTCAAACCGCTTCGTTCTCAAGCAGTAAAGTCATTTCTCTCCAAAAAACGATGATTTCCATTCGAATCTTTCCCATTTTTAATGGAAATTTTTACATCAGGCTTAACGGATCATTCTCATAAGGTTTAGGGTTTAAACCTGGTTCCTATTTCTTGTAGTTTTCAGGCGTTTCTGTGTACATTGTAAGTTCATCAAAATTAAATAGGTTGCATATTTACTTTCCAGTCTATTGTGCTTGTCTCTAAATTTGTTTTCACTTTCTTAGATCGGTTAGGCGTGTGACCTATGATTGATGTTGTGTGCGCCTAGTGTTTATTGTGATTTATGTTCCATGACTAACACTCACTTCAGTAATTGAGATCTGGAAACACAGAAGGGATTCACTAACAATTTGTGAGTGTTCCTTTGGAGGTCAGATACACTTGTTGAACGTCACTCTGGACAAAAGGGTCTGCTTAATGATTGCAATAGTAATCATTTCACATGTAAAACAATGCAAGTAGAGTTGGACTAAATGTAAACGGAATATAAAAAGCTTAAACTGCACGGCAGGCTCTAACGCTCTATTTGATTTCCTGACAAACAGGCTACACCTGTCTTGATTGACAGCTTTAATTCACTTCATATTTAAGAAAATGACAAATCTGCAATCTTTTAATACCAGTGGAGGATTACTGACGTATTGACGTCAGTGTGGTGGGCGGTGGGTTAGTTTATTGACCATATGCTGATGTTTTAGCACAATAATATCTACTGTAAGAATTAGGACTAAGGAGACACCATTTAATGTATGCGTTTTTCAAAATAAATGACAGAAATGTCATCTGCTTTTTTGTTTGTGTGTTTTCTCCATACTGAAAATGTATTGATTTGATCATATTGACCCATGACCCCGAAGTTTAGGTACATAACGAGCTGCACGCCTACTTTTAACGTAATCCACATGCAGTGTGACCGTACTACATTTCCACTAATTTAGGGCTGACTGCTTTAACAGTATCTCACGCCGGCCACCCTGTGATTTTTACAACTTGCAGCCTATAATGGCGTGTTTTCCTTCTTCTAGGACAGACAGTGCACGATGGTTATGACTCAGCCAGTCAGCAATGTTTTAGAGCCCTCCATGTGACACTTTCCTGTCAGGCACGCTCGGGGCCAGACTAAGGTATTCAACATTATGACAAGCAATAGACAGGATGGTCAGATCAGAACATTGCACCGCTGCTCACTAACAGATACAGTCATTCTGACAGATTATATGCTTATGCCTCCATCCTGTAATCATGCACGGCCCATAAAAACCAGTGACCTAACAATTTGAGGATCCCTGCTGTTTTGCACTATGCACCAGCTCATCACATGGTGCTATTACTGGCTTTAAGATCCGTGCACAGATGTCAGGTAGGTTTATGGAAACCTAGCTTTTACTTTCCTCTCACATTTTGGTGTTTGTAAATGTTTTTGACCGTTTCTTCAGAGCAGCCTAAGATTGTAATCATCCTGTTTGAAGGATTCTAGAGGGTAGCGTTATGAATTGATCATCTCTGTTTAATTAGAGTGGTGGTGCTGTGATGGAGACATCATTATTTAGTTATGAATGAACTGGCTCGTATCCATTTGGCTTGAATGAGTTTCTTTTTGTGTGGCATGTGCTAAGCTCCTTGGTTTTAGTGGTAAGGGGAAAATGAGGGGTCACTACCCCACACAGACACAAACTCAGCCTCATCACAGACTCCCCATTGGCCCGGGCTTAGTCATGAGACCCTGGCAATGAGAAAGCTCTCACCCAATAAGGCGCCCTGTGGGGAAAGCCCTGGTCCAATAAGAAGGACCCCTGGGGTAAGGCTGGGGGATTACCAGCCCGAGCTTGCGGATTGAGCTCTAGGGCGAGGGAGGGGGGCACGAGTCGAAGCACAGGGCTGCTTGGTCACCAAGGCCAGCGGCCTCCTTTAAATGGTTGCTACGGGGCAGGTATCAAACGTGCAAGAGTCGCACACAGTCACGGTCATGGAGGGTATTAAATGGCAACAAAGAGACAGTTATTCTGCAATAATCCGCCCTGCTGAGTGCAAGTTATTCTCCAATAATCAAGAGGCGAGGCACAAGCGGGACAGAGCTGTGATCACAGGAGCATGCTGCTGCAAGGAGCTGACTCGCGCGCATACACACACACACACACACACACACACACAGGTCACACCACATCAACCCAGACACACAAACTTTATTTATCACTTGTACATGCACATAATTTATGTGTATGTCCCCAGTCCAGTGTTCCATAATCCAGGCTCCGTGACTCACAACACTCACTATATGATAGCATTTATATTTTGTATCAAATGTGTCCAGGCTTTTGTGCAGGCTTTCACATCTGTGTGTCTGAACAAGAAGAAGCATGTACTTATGACAAATTTAGAAATGTGGCCAATTTGACAATGGAGTTTGTAAACCCACCATGAGTATATATATATATATATATATATACACTATATACATTTGCATCAAGGTGATAAAGTTTCTTGTCAATTGTTTAATTCACTGGATTAGACAAAAGCAGATATTCCATTCCATTTTATAAATAAACAGTTTCTCATTGGATTTTCCAGACAATTTACTATATCACAATATATCGATATAAGGATATAAAATAGCACCGTGATAGAGGATTTATCCATATTGCCCAGTTCTATGTAAATATTTGTTCTAATTAGTAGTGGGTGATTAATTCACTTTTAATAATGTGAAAAATAAATTGTGGATTCAGGTTGTTAAAAGGTGCACAAACGATAGTATAAGCTGAGTTTATACTCGACACAAGGGGTTAACAGGAGTCCCATGGTGGAAACCTTAGTTATGTTTTATAGGATCAGAGTCAATTCAGTCTAGCTTTATTGGCATGAATGTGAAACAACAATGTTGCCATACTGAGAGTCAACACTTCCAAGTCTGAGGCCATGGTTATCTGCTGGAAAATGGCAAATTGCTTTCTCTGGGTTGCAAGTAAGGCTATATGATACTAATATATTTAAAAACTTTGCTATGTTTACACCTACTCCACACTACTCTAGTGTTTTTGAACCACTGAAACAGAGATTTTTGAAAATGCTGCTCATCCCCTTTCCATCTGAAGACTCCGGGGACTGAGTTTTAGTCTTGACGGGCGGAAACAGAGACTTTCATATATGATGACGCAGACACCAATGTTTGCCTCCTGAATGGGTCTTATCAGTCACGACGTGTCCTTTCCTGATTTGTAGCGCCCATGTCACATGACCCTTTTCCAGAAAAAATACCCTAACCCTCCTTAGCCTCCGCCATCTGTGTATGAATGTTTATGAATGCACTTTGAGTAGTTGGAAAGACTAAAAAGATGCTTAACAAGTACAGACCATTTACCAAGCGCAAAGTAGATGATCTGCATGCCCAGTGTACATGAATGGTCTTGTGAGGTCATTTCTAAAGTGGTGCTAAAACACACAGTTTTACATATGTTCATTTAGCTGACGCTTTTATCCAAAGCGACGTGCAATTGCTAGATAGGTCAGAGGTCGCAGGCCTCTGGAGCAACTAGGGGTTAAGTGTCTTGCTCAGGGACACATTGGAGGATGTGTCACAGTGAAAATCGAACCGAGGTCTCTCACACCAAAGGCATGTGTCGTATCCAATACGCCGTTGGCACCTCTCAGTTTTAAAACGCCACTTTAAAATGAAAACATATTAGTGTGGAAGTAGCCTGAGTCACTGCTCCAACTGTGGGAGTACAAGTATCTCAGGTCTTGTTCACAAATGAGTGTCCCTTTGACAGGTAGACTGGTGCGGCATCAGCACTAATTGAGTATCTGACCGTTGTGGTGAAGAGGGAGCTGAGCCTGAAGGCAAAGCTCTCAATTTACTAGTCCTGCTGCCACCACGACCCGGTTCCCAGATAAGATGCTGAAAATGGTGATGGATAGATGTGCAGTCGCTGGGATCATGTGCTTTCCTTCACTGTGATAAAAGAGCCAATCCGCAAAGTCTCACATTGGGGAGAAAAACACACAACACAAACTGCAGATTGATATACAGTATATATTTTATCACTTATTTATTTAATTCGTTGGTTTCACTCTCCATTGATGATGAGTAAAATGAAAGTAATTTTGTCACAGTTATTCCTATAATCTCACTGGTCACGTGAATGATCTTATTTCACAAATCTCACATGTTCACTTCTTATGTCTTTTCATCCTCCTCCATCCTTCTCTCCCCACCAGGTCGGAGTGTGTGAGCAGTCTGGGCTCACAGTTTCGTCGCGGGGCTGGTGTGTTGGACATGGTGTTTGAGTCTCCATTCCAGCTCTTCACCTGCGGCTATGATACTTTCATACGCCTGTGGGACCTCCGACTCAGCCCACGGTACATCTCTCTTTTGTCGGGTTCAACTTGAACAGTTAGTGCAATAGTCAGTGCTCCTTAGAATTTTATCTTGTTGCCATAAATACACTTTACATTAAGCATTTTAACCAATGTTCCTAAAATATTTTCAGCTGCAGTGTATGTCAGTGAATGTAGGATCTGTTTAGTTGGTGACACCTGCAGTGCACCTCCTGCACTACGCTTCAGACCTTTACCACAACATGCTTGAGACCAAAGATAAGATTGAGGACACTGTCCTCAGTATTTCTTACTTCATTAAAATATCTGCTATGTTTAAATTTGGCAATTTTCATAAAAAAAACTCCTTAGTTCCCTACCTTGGGTCTTCTTGTCAGGTTGGAAAAGCTTCAACAATAACATGCAGACCATGGTGTAAAAATCATTCCAAGCCTTTTATTTCCAGCAGTGTGAGCACAGGGAGCTAACCAGCAGCACACTGCTGCGACCATATTAATGCAGCAGCCCTCACTTCAGTGTATGTCGGCAGGGTCCCTAACACGGTTGGGGAGGGCAGCATTCATTTTGGACAGCAGGGGTTAGAGGGGCTTCAGGCTGTATTTCGGGGGGATCAGTCAAGTAAGACAAATCAGATCTGATTGGCAGATCGCTCTGGGGACTTTGAAAGGGGTTGGGTTGGGGTGAAGGTTGGCAGAGGGGGGTCCCTCTTTAGATATCAATAATTCATATGGTCAAACCTAACCGGCCACAAAAGGCTCCCAGGGTCATCCTAGAGATTCTGGTTGTCTGGAAGTTTCAGCTCACCACCAAAGAGAAATGTTTGTTTTCACACATCACAACTTTTAACAAGTGGAATACTGCTCAATGAAGGAAAGAAATAACTTCAATGATTTTATACATTGGAATGAGGTTCAGTAGTATCCAGATATGGATGAGTGAGTTGTTCCAAAACCAAAAGTAATGCTTAGTAAGACTGGCCAGTGGAACACAGTTTATTATATTATATATATTGTGATATATTAAAAGAAATCCTTATAAATATCAGGACAATAATCACCCACCTAACCCTGCTTCTTAGATTGTCTTCCCATTCAGTTTATGTTTATACGCTATTATTATTCTAGTACTGTAATTTAAATCAAAACTTCACAGTGTGTGTGAGCGTGGGTGTGTGTGCATGAGAGAGAGAGAGAGAGAGAGAGAGCCTCCAGACGTTTCTGCTGCCCCATTGTCTGCCCCTGGTGTCTCTCCATCACTTATTGATGAGGCTGCACTAATGGAGGATCGATGTCTATTGGCAGAAAATACTTATCCCCAAAATACTTCCCCTCTCTTAACCACAGCCACCACCACCCTGCTTTGCTGCTCACTCAGCTGCTGCACACACACAAACACAAACTCTCACACACGCGCACACACACACACATTGACCTCCTTGTTAACGACAGTATAGGGTTTTCCTGTAAACAAGAGATGGAGTTTCAGCGTTGTCCTCCACAACACACACACAGAGATAGAAACTCGCCTGTGTTGTTGCAGTTCAGATTGTTTTAACTTTTTTTTAGTGATTTCTGTGTCTCTTACTTTCTCAGTAACCAGGTGAAGTCTAGATAGCTCCAATATTACTCAAGTTGGGGACGTGCAATAAAACCTTCTCGAGTAAAAAGCCAATACTTTATCATTACACCTGTTTGCAAGCATGAACAAAATTTTAATCTGCTCGGTTTACAACATGCTAGTTTGGCTAATAGTGAATTGTTACAAATAAGCTTATAATATTGATATTAATATTATAGCAGTAATAATAATAATAACAAGAAGAAGAAGAATACTAATAATATTAATTGTAGCTGCGGGTGTTGAGCAGGAACTTGAGGGCAACAGGAAGCCTGCAACCACAGATCCAGACCCCACTGCTCTGGAGCCAGAAACAACTGCAGAAAGAGATAGAAGGAGAGAGGAGAGGGACAAGGAAGGAGTGCAAGAATGCATACGGATGGAGAGGAAGAGGAGGAGAGAGGAGCTCAGTGCATCATGGGAAGTCCCGGCAGTCTAGGCCTATAGCAGCATAACTAAGGGATGGTTCAGGACTCACCTGAGCCAGCCCTAACTATAAGCTTTATCAAAGAGGAAAGTCTTAAGCCTACTCTTAAATGTGGAGACGGCGTCTACCTCCAGAACCCAAACTGGACCCTGGTTCCACAGGAGTCACATCAGCAGAGGGAGGAGGACAGAAAGGCAAAAGGAGGGACTGATAGTGACTGAGTTTTTCATTTTTTTCTAAACTTAACTCAGTATTTTAATCTAGTAGTATTGATATAATCCTAACAAAATTCATCCCTACTCATGACACTTTAAAAGTATGTTTGGAAGTTGAATCAGCTGGTATCACTTTTTTCATGGATCCAATATTTTCTTATTATTTTCTGAAAAGGTACTGCTCTGTAACTGTAAATTACATACATCATTGTAAAAACATATATCATTTGTTACTCATTATGGGGAAAATTGAGACGGTGTTCAGTTGTTACACCTTCACTTAATTCATTCCAGTTAATTACAGTATTAGCACAAGCTCCTCCAACAAAAGTGTAATGAATGAATATTTACTTGGGCTTAAATGGATCAGTTCATTCACCAAATTCCTCTGGAAACAAAACTAGACGCAAGTAACTGTCTCAGACCTTTGTCTATATGCTGGCCCTGTGATGAGACTTCAGACGGTCACTGACTACAAAGGATTTCAAAAATTAAACATTATGACTTTATTTAAGTTTGTATATGGCATATGATTAAGGTGCACACTAATGTTGTAATCACAAGCCCTGTTTGGAGGGAAAGAGGGAGAAGGGGATGACTCGCAACAAAGATACTTGGTGTACCTTTTGCTGCAAGTCATCCCCTTCTCCCTCTTTCCCTGATTCCTGTGTGTATCTACTGTCCATGTCAAAAAAGACCCGCTAAAGTGCCACAGCTCCTCCATTGTATATCTTTTGTGGAAGTAAAGCGGATAGTCTACACTATAACATCAAAGTCACTGATTCATTTGAAATCCAATGTCCAGGAGCACAAAACTAACATTTTTCTGTTTTAAAAATGATGGTCTCTACGCAAATAACACAATTTAAGAAGTACACAAATTAAGAAGTATAGTTTAGTCAGGTTAGTTGGGACGGAAACTGGGTTGTACTTTTGAGAAGAGCTGCTACATATAAAAGAGTGGCAACATACCTGGAAAAATGCATAAAAGACTCTGGATACAAAGATAAGAATGATAAACGGCAAACCCGCACACAGAACTGTCTCTCCTGTGCGTTTGAGATTCTTCCAAGGAGCAAGCGTGTTCAAGAAGTCCACTCGCCTTTGACTTTGACTTGCCTACATATCACTTCACTGCATTTTCAAGTTAAAAACATTCAAGAATCAGGCATTATGTGGTGCTACTAAATCAAAACACGAAAAAGGTCCTGTTCATCTCAATGCATGTACGTAAACTCCTTCCCAACAGGAAGTGTGTGATGGAGTGGGAGGAGCCTCATGACAGCGCTCTGTACTGCATCCAGACAGACGGGAATCACATGATAGCCAGCGGCTCCTCGTACTACGGTGTCGTACGACTGTGGGACAAACGACAGACTGAATGCCTGCAGGTGAGTACAGTATATCCTCAATAAAATCTGCGGTATCTACAGTGTGTACTGCATCACATGCTTTAAAGGCAAGTTTAAAACAAAATGTTAAGAGCTGAATTCCAGATATTAAACACTAAACTTGCTGTTGTAATGTGATGTCATGTTTTGTTTGTCGTGCAGTTCTTTCAGCTGAGCTCAGACCAAGTGAGCAGCCCGGTTTACTGTCTGAGGTTCACTAGCTCTCACCTGTATGCAGCCCTGGCCACCGCCCTGCACTCACTGGACTTCAGACAGAACCCCATCTACATCAGATGATACACACAGACACGCACACACACACACAAACTGATCTGTTCAATAAAGCTGTCTATTTTCACAATAAATGTCTTCACGTTCTTTTTAAAGGGACTGTTTATTCTGATCCAGCAACTTATTTACCATGAGTTAAGCTCTGTGTGGAAAGATCTCATAAATAACACAAGGGACTCAGAGTGATTTATGACCCTTGTGTGATTTATGCTCCAAAAACACTGGATCCTACATTTCCCATAATCCAACTGGATAGCATCTTTCTAGTCTCAAAGCCCAAGCTGATGTCATCAGGATTATTTAATCAGTGGCTCATAAATAAGTGTTCTAGGGTAGTAAAGTAAGCACAATAGTTTTTATACACAATTACACTGATTCAAAGATTCAAAGGGTTCAAGTGAAAATACAAGGCATTTTTATATCCAGCAGACATTTGGATTTGTCATAGTATGAAAAGGGCAGGTGTTACTAATTAACATTAATGATGGCCCCAATAAGCCATGACAGTGAGTGCATTTAATGTACATGCACTGAGGTAACAGAGTTCTAGTCGGCTTTCTCCAGTAAACTGATTTCTTAGATGTAAATGAGATTGGGGATAACAAAAACCAGACGTCCCCAGCTAGATTTCTCCTGGAGAAGGTTGATTTCACTGAATGTGACAGTGAGCCAACATGAACAATTGGGGCCTCCATGGATCGGACTTGTTTGCCCAGCACATCCCACAGATGCTCGATTGGATTGAGATCTGGAAAATTTGAAGGCCAAGTCAACACCTTTAACTCGTTGAGTTTCTCAAACCATACCTGAACCATTTTTGCTTTGTGGCAGGGCGCTTTATCGTGCTGAAAGAGGCCACTGCCATCAGGAAATACTGTATTCATGAAAGGGTGAACATGGTCTGCAATAATCCTTAGGTACAGGTGGTAAATGTCCCCATGGATGGCAGGACCCAAGGTTTTCCCAGCACAACATTGCCCAAAGCATCACACTGGCTCCACCGGCTTGCCTTCCTCCCATGGTGCATCCTGGTGCAAAGTGTTCCCCAGGTAAGCAATGCACACGCTCCCAGCCATCCGCATGATATAAAAGAAACTGTGATTCATCAGACCACACCACCTTCTTCCACAACCCATTCTCACTCCCAACTCATTACATATGTACGCATGGTCAAGACCATCAGCGTCAGTTTGTAACGCACTGGGAATGCCCATTGTGCCATAATTCAACACAGTGGGGGAAGCCCTGTAGCGGATGGTAAGGTAAGTATAGTATCTCAGAAAAGTGAGTACACCCCTCACATTTTTGTAAATATCTGATTATATGCTTTCATGTGACAACACTGAAGAAATGACACTTTGCAATGTAACGTAGTGAGTGTGCAGCTTGTATAACAGTGTAAATTTGCTGTCCCCTCAAAATAACACATCACACAGCCATTAATGTGTAAACCGCTGGCAACAAAAGTGAGGACACCCCTAAGTGAAAGTGTCCAAATTGGGTCCAATTAGGCCCAATCTCAATGTCCCCCCTAAACCCTGAGCACTGAACCCTCACAGACTTTTCTGATGTCACCTGGTAAGTTATTGAGTGTAAAAGGCTGTAAGGGCTCAAAATGCTGTAAACAGGAACAGGACAGCACTTTGCCACATTGTGTTACCTTGACAATGCTGAAACATGTGGCACTTTTTTGTTTTATTACTTTCCAACTGCCAGATTTACATGTCTTTCAGGCTCTTGTCCTGAGTGGATGAGAGGTAACCTAATTGTCAATCTACATTTGTCAATAATCAATGCACTATTGTTAGTCAAAACAGCAGTATTAAGCAAAAACTAAAATAAATAGTTGAATAAACTAAGAGTACAATAAGGTGATTGCATTCCTCTGACTTCATGTGTTCTATGTACCATCTAAAATCTATGAAAACTTTTTGTCTTACAATTTTAGCATCACCGTTGGTTTCCATGCTATTTTGTTTACCGTTCTTCTTCTTCTCTTATAAGACGGATTTACCAAATTTTTCTCTTGCTTCCGGGTTTCCCCTGGTAACCTCCGTGTTTCACATCACAACGCTATGAACTGTGGGCAATTCCCTCAGGCGAAGTCTGCAGAAATGCGGACTTACGAGAGAACCCTCGCACACCTGACGATTTGACAGTGGGACGGCCCTAAGCCCTCACGGACTTCCCAGGAATGCGTCTGTGAGTCTATGAGTGTGGACACTGGGATTGGGCCTTAGCCATTTTTCCTTCCCTGGTGTCATGTGACTCGTTGGTGTTACAAGGTCTCAGGTGTGAATGGGGAGCAGGTGTGTCAAATTTGGTGTTATCGCTCTCACACTCCCTCATACTCGTCACTGAAAGTTCAACATGGCACTTCATGGCAACAAACTCTGAGGATCTGAAAAAAAGAATTGTTGCTCGACATAGAGATGGCCTAGGCCAGGGGTCACCAACCCGTCGATCGAAATGTCGATCTTTGTGACTTTCCCTGTAGATCACAAAAATATTATTTAAAAAATGACTCAATCATCTTATTCCCGATTGAAGTTCAGTTTTGCTCATTACAAAATGTTTTGATTTTTTCCCCACTATGAACAAAATAACCTAGGCCTAATCTACATAATTCTATAATGTCAAGACAATAGGCCACATTCCTTTCTTATTTGTATTCGTATGAATTTAATGCAACTTGATGTTGTGTTGTACAGTTCACAGACCTATTTAATACACCGGTTACAGTTTGCCTAAATAAAGGCCTCAAGTTGGAGGTATTTTGGCTTTCTTTCTCTCGTTTCAGTAGGTAGATCTTGCCTTTAATCAGGGCTGATGTGAGGGATCTTGGGCTCAAAAAGGTTGGTGACCACTGGCCTTGGTTATAAGAAGACCCTGAAATGGAGCTGCAGCACGGTGGCCAAGACCATACAGCGGTTCAACAGGACAGGTTCCAATCAGAACAGGCCTCACCATGGTCAACCAAAGAAGTTGAGTGCACGTGCTCAGCGTCATATCCAGAGGTTCTCTTTGGAAAATAGACGTATGAGTGCTGCCAGTATTGCTGCAGAGGTTGAAGGGGTGGGGGGTCAGTGTGTCAGTACTCAGACCATACGCCGCACACTGCATCAAATTGTTCAGCATGGCTGTCGTCCCAGAGGGAAACCTCTTCTAAAGATGATGCACAAGAAAGCCCGCAAACAGTTTGCTGAAGACCAGCAGACTAAGGACATGGATTACTGGAACTACAGTTCATTGAGGGAAGCATGAATGCCAACATGTACTGTGACACACTGAAGCAGAGCAGGACCCCCTCCCTTCGGAGACTGGGCCGCAGGGCAGTATTCCAACATGATAAACACACCTCCAAGACGACCACTCACTAAAGAAGCTGAGGGTAAAGGTGATGGACTGGCCGAGCATGTCTCCAGACCTGAACCCCATTGATCATCTGTGGGGCTTCCTCAAACGGAAGGTGGAGGAGCGCAAGGTCTCTAACATCCACCAGCTCTGTGAGGTCGTCATGGAGGAGTGGAAGAGGACTCCAGTGGCAACCTGTGAAGCTCTGGTGAACTCCATGGCCAAGAGAGTTAAGGCAGTGCTGGAAAATAATGGTGGTCACACACAATTTGGACACTTTCACTTAGGGGTGTACTCTCTTTTGTTGCCAGCGGTTTAGACATTAATGGCTGTGTGATGTGTTATTTTGAGGGGACAGCAAATTATACACAAGCTGCACACTCTCTACTTTACATTGTAGCAAAGTGTCATTTCTTCAGTGTCGTCACATGAAAAGTTCATCACCTTTGTGAGATTAAGTATATGATATTTAACAGAAAAGACCAAGTAAGGAGGTGGTTGGGGTGGATGGAGGGCCAGAGATCAGACTTTCCAGAGACTGGTGTTCATTTCCTATGTGAAACAAAATGTCAACATTAAATATTTTTATTTAGTCTACGTAAATTACATCATCCACCATTGTGTCCCTGAGCAACACACTTAACCCCTAGTTACTCCAGAGGCGTGCGACCTCTGACATATATAACAATTGTAAGTTGCTTTGGATGAAAGCGTCAGCTAAATGAATACATTTAATGTAAATGTACGCAAGTAATGTTACTTAACTGACGTACGTATAGTTATTTTAACCCAAACCATGATCTTTTCCTAACCCTAACCAAGTACTTTTGGAGGCTAACTCTAGCCAAACTGCAACGTTTAACAACGTGTCGTTTCAAAATGGTGATGTTTCACAATGTTAACATTTTGTTTTGAAAGTCTAACCAGACGTTGCATATTTATTGTTGCTAACTTCACTGGATGTTGAATATCATTGCTAACTTGACAGCGGAGCCCTAAACGTTAAAAAACAACACCAAAGGAGTACCCAGGGCATTAAAAAGCGACACCAAGGGGTCCATATGTGACGAGTCAGGAGTGAGAATGTGTTGTCTTACATTGCTCCGTGATCCAGTTCTGATTCCTCACACTGTAGGAGCTTTCAGCTGTAGAGAGAGGTCAGCATAGGCACTCTAATGGTCCCGACACGGCTTTGCAGCACTAAATGCAACAAACTGCAATTCATTGTATGTTCTGACACCTTTCTCACTTTTTCAGCAATTTGACCTTCAGTAGCTCATCTGTTGGATTACATGGGCAAGCCATCGCTCCCCGCACGCATCAATGAGCCTTGGCCGCTATGACACAGTAGCTGGTTCACTGTTTTTCCTTCCTTGCACCACTTCTGATAGGTACTGACCTCTGCATACCGGGAACACCCTGCAAGAGCTGCAGTTTTTGGCAATGCTCTTGCCCTTGTCAAAGTCACTCAAAATCTCATACTTGCATCTTCATTCTGAACTCCACTGATGGTCAGAGTGAAGTCAGAGTTTGATCCACTGCCTGTATGATGACCTGCAATCCCTGACACTCGAGTGCTAGCATAGAACAGTTTAGGAGATTCTCCATCTCTCTTTTGGTATTAGGCTAAGTGGTGGAAGTTGCTCCAAACATATACATTCTGACTAACTTACATCTGATGGAGTCCCCCCCCCGAGCAGAGCTCACTGCTCCAGGCTGA